AGTCGCACCGGGGGCAAAGTTCAGTTTCCTTTATGGAGACTCAAAAAAATTAAAATACAATTTTTTTCATCGAATATCCAAAATCGTTACTACCATAATCGAAGATATCACATATAAGGCGTGTCGCACAGGGGTCAAAGTTCATATTACGCTATGATGACGTCATAACCGACTCCATTCGGGACCAAACAAATTTATATGTGATATCTTCGACTTATGGTAATATCGATTTTGGGTATTAGATGAAATAAAATTAATTTTAATTTTTTCAGTCTCTGTAGAGGTACTTTGCCACCTGTGCGACACCCTTTAACCGTCTCCAGGGGGTGAGACTGAAAAACCCGTTTATTTGATTTTTTAAAGGACCACCCTAATGTACATATGGGTCGGCATTTAAAGTACAAAACCGTTTATCAAGAGAATGCAAAACTTCGTATAGCAGAGGCCAAATAAAAGTAGCAAAATTCAAAAGGATTTTAATTGCAACCACGGTTTATTTACTGATTTTTAACAATTTTCATATAAAATATAGTTCGATCTATAGCAGGAACCACAAAAATAAATAACTCAAAAATTGCACAAAGTTCACAAAAATTAGTCAAACTTCAAAAAATGTTCGTCAAAATTTCAAACTTTATGTTTAAAATTTTTCGAAAACGTAACGTATAAACAAAATCTATTTTTACAAGCTTTTATTTAACTCTGCTCTGTATGTATGTATGTACGTATGTTTGAAATCAATTTTTGCCCAACTTCCCGATGACCTAAAGACTTGAAGCTTCACAGTTGGCTCAGAACCCGGTGACAATGCAATACGAAAGATGAATTAAAGCGATAGGTAGCGCTGGAGTCGATATATTTGTAAAACCCGTATTTAGAATCCGATTTGGTTCATATTTAGAACGTATGTATATCAACTACATGAAAAGGAATAACTTCACTAAAAATTTTGCCGATAGGTGGCGCAAGAGTCGACATATTTGGTAAACCAGTATTTATTGTTCGATTTCGTTCATATTTACAAAGCTTGCTTTAAAAATATTTGTTTTTACAATTAACTTATTATATGGAAAAAATGCACAACACCCTCGACAAAAAAAATTCTAAAAAATCAACGGTAATTTTCAGTGACCTGAAACATGCACTTCTTTATACTAAAATTAAATCGGCCACAAAACTGCATACTCGAAAGTTTTCTAAGCATTCTGAATAAAAAGTTTGAAACTGTGTTTGAGGTTTGATTCAATTTTGTGAACTTTGTGCAATTTTTGACATTTTTATTTCTGTGGGTCTTGACCCCACAAAAATTTTTTTGAAGGTCAAGTGGACATCCAATACCTGATTCAATTTCCAATGTTGATTTTCAAGTGCACCTCAATTGGGGAACCAACCCGTTCTCAGACAAAATGGCACATTTTTGGTGTGCAGAATAATCTGAGATCCCCAATTGAAAAAAGTTTGGATATCAATTTGAATTCAAGCTTTTTCAACTGTTAAATTTTAATTTTTTTAATTTTTGAGTAAACAGTTTTGTAGCCCATTAAACTTTTGTATGTACAAAAAACCGAAATACACCACACAAGCGGGTTGACATGTTGTGTATGGGGGTTTTTGACAAGCCGCTTGAACAAAAATCAAAATTTTTGGATTTTCTGGCCGCCATATTGACGCAAAATGCAAGGTGAGTTAGCTTTTCATTGAGCAGCATTTACTGAAAGCCTGAGTGAGAACGTGTGCGTCGAAAACTATCATCCTGTTTGCCAAATACAAAATTCTTCTTATCTTCGACCTAAGTCACATATGCTAAGTAGAATAACCGTATGGACATCCAATAAAGAGAAAATTTTGTAGGGTTCAAAAACATTAAATTTTTTGGTACATAAGGACGAAATTATTATTAGAAAGTGCACGTTTCAAGTAGCTAGGAATTACTGTTGATTTTTGACATTTTTTTCACGCAGTCTCTTCCATACAAATTTTATTTTTTTTTTTCGAAAATACTTTATATGGAAAAAAATGCAAAACACCTTCAACAAAAAAATTCTCAAAAATCAACGCGGTTTTTGACTAACTCCGAACTTGCATTTTTTCCCTAGAATTTAATGGGCTGCAAAACTGCATACTCAAAATTAATTAAAAAAATTTGATCAAAAAGTTGAAAATTTGCTGAATTTTCGCGAGTTTTGCACAAAGTTTTTTTTTTTGTTGGAAGTGTTTTCCATTTTTTCCATATAAAGTATTTTCGAAATTTTTTTATCGAAGAGACTGCGTGAAAGAAAATTGCCAAAATCAACTGTAATTTTTTGCACAAAGTTTAGAAATTATGTAATATTTTTATTGAGCTTTGTACCACGATTGTTTATTAGGAAAAATTGAAAAAGCAACAAAGTCTAAGCGGTAGAAGTTATAGCACTATTTCGTTTAGAAATTATATTTTTATGTTTTTTTTTTGTTTTCGAATAAATCACATATTTATAAAAAATTGGAGGAAATATATTGCAATAAACATTGTTGCATATATTGTAAAAAAAACAGCCGGCAATACGAGTAAAAAAGCAGTAAAAAATTGTTTTTTTTTGGCGTTCGTTGTGGCATATCTTTTACGTCTGGCGCTTTGCTGGCAAAGTTATAAATGTCACGCAAAGACACAAAGTTTTATCTGGCATCAGCTTAAGGAACTTCCCAACAGAGAACGAAACGGTAACAAATTTTTTCTGAGCTTATGCGAGAAGAATGGAAGCGAGAAAAAAAGCATTCATTAGTTTAAACTGTTTAAATATTTAAGATAAACGAACGACTTAAGACACGAACTGTTCTTCCGCAGAAAGTGAAAAATTGTTCCGTAAATGGACAGTTGACCCTAATGACAAACGATCTGGAAGTTGAAATATTCCAGGATCCTCTGGCTTAGAATTAAAAATCGTGCTTCTCACTGGAACGTTAAGTTCTAAAGACTTTTTTTCTCACAACGTTCTCCAGATTTTTTTTTTTCTTATTTGATCTCTTTTGAAAAAGTTCTCGATACTTTAGTTCTCCCATTGGAAACGTTCCCGAATGTTTCGTTCTCATTCCGTTCTTCTTGAGAACGTACCCGAAAGTTTTGTTCGCATTTCGTTTTTTACGGAACTCCTCCCAAACCTTTTGTTCTCATTTTGTTCCCGTTCAAACTGCACTCATAACATTTGCTCCCATTTGGTTCCATTGTGGGAACGTTCTTGACATTACATTTTGTTCTCAGGCAGAACTAAACCAAAATTGAAATGCGTACTCTTTGCCTGATTAATTCGTACTTAGAAATCTATAAATATATTGTTATAAGATGCGAAAAATAATCGTTAAGGCTAAAGTTGTTTTTAGCATCATAAACTCATTTCATTGCACGCATTTGTAAGCCAGCTCTCGATATATTACATACCTGTAGGCAATTCTTTTTTCTTGGTCAGTCACTGAACTAAAAGGCCGCAATGAATAACAGTAGCGTATAGTGAAATGAAAAAAAAACACACATGAAAAAAAAACACAAGATTGATAGTGTTAAAAACAGAAATAGCATAACAAAACAAATACATAAAAAATATGTGGCCACAAAATGAATCGACTCACGGTAGATATATGTGAACATACCGTCGGTTAATAATACAAAACCGCGATCAAGATAGTGCAAAACCGTGTATGTTAGGTTGCATAAAATATTTTCTAGATAGCAAAAACACTCATATTTCAAAATAGTCTTCTTTTTTATAAAGCAATCGCATTTCTTGCTAATATTTTGCAGGACGAATGGAAAAGTATTGAGCCAAGAGCTTGTGTGAGCAAATCCAATTTTTGGCAGCAAATGTCAGTTACGCGGTTTTGAAGAATGACGATACGCGGTTTGTACTTTAAACGACGATATGCAAGAATGATAGAATGCATCATGACTAGCATTTGTTGACTTGGCCAAAAGAGACAAGCAAGTAGATATGCGGAAATTAATCAATAAATTCGCGACAGTGCAGGGTCAGCAGCAAACAACCGAATACAATTTTTCAATTAAAGCGAATTTTAAGCTTAATTTCTGACCTTACCAGCACTATATGCGTACTAAATAAAGTACATATATAGGTAAGTACTTACATCTAGCCCTAGTCTAAATTAAAATTAAACTGTACGATTGATGTTATACAATTAAAACGTTTTGATCGTTGTAGGTACTTTCCCCCATGACCTTACAAAAATGTGACGAAAACTTCCATTAACATCAAAATACACACACATAGGTATGTGCTGATCATTTGCTATCCAAAATAGTCAACCAGTGCAGGTTTACTTATGGGCTTTAAACTTTGGACTTTTATTTACCTGTTGATTTTGTTGCGGCCGCAAATTCGTTAACTTATTGACAAAACGTTCTACGCACAACTTTTTTGCCAAATTGCGAACAACTTCAGAGGGATTTGAGAAATGTCCCAAATATTTTTCGTATTGAACCACACTCTTATTAGCACTATGGGATTCGTTAAAGCACTTAATTACTGACCATTAGTTTGCTTAATTAAAAATAAAATCATTAAACAGGCAACCTTCTTAGCGCACCACAACGATTATGCAAACACCAGCACAAAATGACAACACTCGATTTTTGACGTTGCGCCGTCAGCTGTCATTTTGCTGTCACTTGATTCGTGCAAAGCTGGATGCAATTGAAACAAAACTTAACGAAAACCTGTGTTGTAAAATGTAGAACTATTAATTATGGTCGGCCGGAGAGATGTTATTTTCCTCTTTCTTCCTGTGCCAACAAATGTGTTTTGCAAGCCCCTTGTGCAGGGGGGACGAAACTCCCTGTGCCCGGGTGGGTAGTCTGGCAAAGAACGTAAATCTATACATTTACGTTCTTTGATATAAGCAAAAACTTTTTCAATCTCGAAACTGAACGATTGAATCGTTGCAACCCTGTGTTCTTTCCATCAAGTTGTCAGTACTGTTTTTGACTTTTCCTTTTGCACCCGCCTCTGACGTATACGTACGTATGTGTGAGTGTGTGTGCAAAGTAGACGGCGAGCGCATATTTTCATTGTCCGTCAAATTTCTTTTTAAAATTTCTTCAAGATAATTAAAATTTTGAAATTTCAAAACTTCTTCATAAAATACAATTTCCTTTAGCGCAAGGGAGCGAAAGTTCAATATAGAAAGGAGCTTGGGTAATGAAAGATTTCTAAAGTGTTTTTATGTAAATTCATGATGAAGCAACAGTGACTCGGTGTTAAGCAAAGAAGCAGTGCGTGAAAGAATACATATGAGCAACAAGAAGGCCGAAATAAGTGAAACAAGTAAAAATTTAATTCAATTTCTTGGTGCTATATACGTGAAATCGACGCAGGTTAACGTGAATAGAAGTTAATGTGAATTGAAAATTAATTATTTATTCGAAGCAGTTTCGCAAAAAGAATTTACGAGCAGAAGCCAATCAGTTTAATACCTAAATGCTATGTGTGACTTAACAGTGGAAACATTGAAGTTAGTGTGCGTTAAGTTAAGCGGTAGACGTAATCTACAAGTTGTGAAAGTTCCAATGTAGATGATGTAGATGCTACCAAATATGAGGGGAATTTCTGATCGACATACCAATTGAAAACGCAGTTACGACAAAGAATTCTGCAGTTAGTTTTGCTCGGAAGTTGGATTCCGCAAGTGGTTTCCGCCGCGTAACTGCAACGCATCGCGTACGTCGCTTCTGTTTTACTTGTATTTAGCAACGTCTCGTGACCTCATCAGATCGCCGCCAACGTCTGCAACACCTTCCGACTAACCAACCAACATTTGAACAAGTAATATTCAAACATACCTTTGTATAGGCAGCCCGACAAGCAAGCACAAAGCCGTGGCGCACTTGGGATTTGCCGTTGTTCGCGATTCGGTTTTATTTACCTCAATTTTTATGTATTTATATTACCCACGGCTTACGTATGTCTGTAGTATAGCTTGTTCGTCTCGCTTCTCGTCCATGGCTTGCTTGCCTTTCTGCCTGACAGAATGAATGGTTACTTGGTTGGTCTGTCGCGTTGTTGGTTGGCTAACTGAGTGGCCCACCGACTTACGGATTTTGCCTCTTGTCTCTGTTACAGTATTGTCTTCCGTTTGTTTCAACTCCGCTCGACTGTGCTTCGTAATTCTACAGTTGAACTGCTGAGCTTGCAGGTAAATTATGCAAATATTTAAAATAAAATACACACATTTGTACTTATTAATATATGTAAATATGTATTTGGGGTTTATACTTCACTTAAATATATTACTTGCTGCAATTACAAGATGGGTTTTGCTTTGTATTCGGCTACGCCGGGTATTTAAAATTTTGGAGATAATATTTTTGGTGTGTCTATGACTAAAGAGCTCGTCAGACGTGGCAATGCAATATATTTCGAAAAGGCTGTCAAATTGAGAAATTCCAGAAAGCAGTTGCAACTTATCTTTCTCAACTTGACAGCAATTGCGTGGAAAATTTGGAAATATGACCACGTCTGACACGCTCTTAAGTTTCTATTAACACAAAAGCTTTATATTAAAAAAGTAAAAAATACCTTTGTATATCGACGCCAGTCCGGTCTACGTAATCGGGTTGGCACGGCACAAAAAATTTCCATCCCAATCCCGCTCATCCCGAAATAGAATTTTTAAGTCTCGTTACGCCCATCCCGACAATTCTTAAAATTGTACCGCGAGTCCCGAAATCTATCACTTAAGTTTAATTAACTGTCTATTTCATAAAACGTATTTAAGTGAGATTTCGTGAATTTACGGAGGTTGTGGGTTTTATCGGGAGTGCTAGGAAAGGATTTTGGTCGCGTCTCGCCCGAAAAATTTTTGAAGACCTTCCCAATACCTCCCATCCTGGCCATTTTGAAATCGGTAACGTGGGTCCCGCGGGTCTCGCGAAACGACTCAGATTCATATCTAGCTAAGGGCTATAAACGCAGTATCATTCCCCAAAAACTCTGTGGAATTAGCATTCTGTTACAACAACAACCGGCTTATATTCAATGCCCTCTACAAGTTTTACAAAAATCAGTTTCAGATATTAAAACCAAACTTATACTTAACTGTCATCGATTATATTAATTAAGTATATTAAAGCTTTTGTTACTTATGTCTTATTAAAATTTACTACTGGTTTAAAAAGTTGGAAATATATGCAGTTTTTGTAACAGCATCCGCGTTTCCAAGAGTTTTTTGGTAGTGACATTTCTTGGCCAGACATAAAACTGGTTGGTAAATTTTTTGTTAATTATTGTAAGCATAAAATTAATCTGTCGAAAAAATATAAATCCAAAAAAACGATTAGGCTATAACAGAAAATAAGCATATCGCTGTGTAAAGGTGAAAAGGTACCAAATCCATTTTTTCAAAAATTAGTTTTAGATGCAGGATGATAGATAATGCTAAGCTACATCGATTTTCCGTATCTTCAAAATAATTTAAAGAAGGGACTTGGCACCTATTCACCTTTAGGTAGCGATATGAAATAATGATTTATAATTAAACTGTTCTTGTTCTATAAAATTGTGAAGTGAAAACACTATTCAAATGGAAATAAATTAATTTGTCAAAAACGTTTCACAAGTAGCGTGGCAGTGAAAAAGAAAAGTTGGGTATTTTTCTCAAAATCATCATCTTGTAATAGAGAATCTAATTGTCTTAAAGTCACAAAAATTTTCCAAGTAATTACTTGCTAGATGTTAATAGAAAAGCCTTTAATACTTAAGTAATGGAGAATTGCTTAAACTGATGTAGTGAAATTATAAAGTGAACAAATTTTCACTGACATTGTATTTTTCATTTTCTCTTCACCATTTCATAGAAGGAGAATTGACCTCCTGATAAGTTATGAAAAACAAGCTGCTCCTATTTTAGTCAGGAAATAATTATTAAGCTCTTAAATTTAAAATTTTACACTTGTGCTTACGTAGGTACAATATGATGATAACTAAAAAAAATATCTTTGTTTTCATTTCAGGCATAATTTCGCTATCAGCTCGGTACAAAATTTTAAAGTTAAAATTACGCGATATATTTTATAGTCCTTTGAAAGTTCGCAACGCCAACGAAAAGAGCTTAAAAACTGGCTTGTTACCCACCCGGCGTAAATTCAAATAGTGTAACCAAATACACGTGAGCAACACAAAAAGAAATTAAAGCAAATAGTACAATTATATAGGTACATACATATGTATATATAAACTGAACCGAATAAACAACAATAACGACTATTGTAGTCAAAAAAGAAGGAACGTGGAGAATTGAAACATTTTTTACTTATCTAAAACTAAAAGAATAGACCTCAAAGCTGAACGAAGAGTTTTATCATTTGAAAGGTAGACTTATACCCGCGTACTTAAGACCAGGTGCTTGCAAAGCGACGTACAGAAGGAGGAGAATCAAACGTTGCAATATTACAAACTCTTCAACAACAAACAAGTATTCAAAAGTTAAGACACACTTCCAGCTGGGGAGGGATAAGAAAAAATTCGGTATGCAGTAAGGGCAAAGTCACGACCATTAAACGAATTGGGAACGACAATAATAAGAAAAAAGTAACAAAAGCACAGTCATAAAAGTTGTGACTACATAGGAAGTGCACCGGAGAAACGCATCGAATTGTCTTGAAAGTGCCAAAAATCACGCTAAGCTCTAGCGACTAAACGCCGGCTTAAGTGGGCAAAGGTTGTACTCAACAATAAGCAGACTAATTCCATTGTGATTGGATACCAGCACGAAAATTTGTCATCAGTTGTTTTATGTAAACAATAGACTAGAGGGAGACAGCGACCTACATATGTACATAAATATGTATATAGCATAAGCAGCTCACAAGCAGCATGCCCTAAATCAGATTATTTGTTTGCTAAAAAAATGTTTGTATATTCTTAGTGTGCCACTAAAAGTACAATTGTTGTGGTGTGGAAGAAATTTCCACCACAGTGTTAGCGGCTACTTGTGTCTGAACTTTAGCGTGCTCTGCATCGTGTTGCGGAAGTGTGCTCTGTGCGGACAACTTTGTTTTAATGACGCTGCTGCCCGCATCACCCACATCATTGACGTTGTTTGAAAAAATATATATATTTAAATCGGCATTCACTGCCGCCGAGTGGCAGCTCAATACAAAAAACTCTCGACTGATGCTACTATGCGGTGGAGCACAGCGAAAACGATAAATAAGAGCAGCATTTACGACAACGATAGCAACATAAAAAAGACAATAATTAAAATAAATCCTTTTGTTTGTGTACATTTGAAAGCAAACCAAAGCAAATTGAATAAAAGTGAAAACCAACAATCAGCATACGAAGCAGCATGGATGAGGAAAGGAAAAGACGGTGAGTTGAGTATGGATCTGTTTATGCTTTGAAAATACATACTTACATATTTTTACATTAAATTCAGAATAGAACTTACTGCGGCCTGTTTCAAGAGCGACCTAACCACATTGAATACAAAAATTATCTTACGTATGCCAACTTATATGCATCTTTCAATGCTATGCCCGATTCCCTCTTGCACGCAAACAAATTTTAAGCTCCCGCACTCGCAAAATGTCCAGTCTTCTACAAATATTTAATTTATAGCCCCAACCCAGAAGATAATTTAGGTAGGCTTTCTTTAGTGAAGCCTCTCTAAGAGGCCACTCCAGAAGGGCTGAAAAAGTGCTTCCTTGCATGCTTTCTAAAAGGGCTTGCCCATGTACCATTTACGCGAATGCATAAATTTATATTATTTAGCATTACAAATGGATTTCAATAAAGTTTTTAAGTTGCAATAACACATTTGATATAAACCTTAAGCAAAAATTTAGGATTTTTATAAATTAAAGAAGAACTTTAAAAGAACTCCAAAAGTCCTTCTGTCCGTACGTCCGATAAAAGCCCTTCTGGAAGGCCTTCTATGGGCAGCCAAAGAAGGAACCCTTCAATTTGTGCCACCCCATACAAAAACATGTAAGTGCGCCTGCGCCACACTGCAGAAGTGAAACTTACGTTACATATCTATTTTATCTCATAACCAATATACATATGTACATACATCTGCTTTTGCTTAAGGTTATATTTTTTGTATTTTTTCATCCAGATCCCTACCTCTACCCCTGTGCGTTCTTATTACATTTATGTATGTTATTCTGTTTGCTTTCCTTTATCTTCATTTTCATCTTTATATCTCTGTCGATAACAAAATCGATAGTAACATCCAACAAAATATCGATAACAAAACCAATAAATATATCGATAACTAACTCGATGACGAATTCGATAGCAAAATCGATAATAATATTGGTAGCAAAATCGATTGGAAAATCGATAAAAAATATCGATAACAAAATCGATGAAAATATCGGTAAAAATATCGATAACAAAATCCATAAAAATATCGACAAAAAATCGATAAGTAATCGATAACAATATCGATAAAAGTATCGATAAATAATCGATAACAAAATCGGTAAATAATCGATAACAAAATCGATAGCAGAATCGATAACAAAATCGATAACATTATCGATAAAAAACCAATAGCAATATCGATAACAAAATCGTTAAAAATGTCGATTACAAAATTGATAACAAAATCGACTCGATAAGTTCCGAAAATATCGATAGCAAAATCGATAGCAAAATCGAAAAAATTATCGATAACAAAACCGATAAAAATATCGATTGTTATATTGTTAAATCTCGAGAATCCCCAAAATCTCTAAACTCCCAAAATAGTTCTATCTTCATCTTTACTTTTATCGATATCCTCATCCTCATCTTTTTCTTTATATTTATCTTTGTTTTTACTTTTATCTTTATCATTTTCTTAATATACATATTCCCCTTCACCTTTGCCCTTATACATATAAGTAAAGTGTTTAAATTTACCTTGGTCTTCATTTACGTCTTCATCCTTACGTCTTTTTGTTTTTGTTTTAATTTTTTCCTTTGCCTTTATCCTTTTCTTTATCTATGTGCATACTCACCTTTACTTACATTCTTGTATTGTATTGGTCTTTTTCTAAGTTTTATTCTTTAAGCTTTCATTAGCAAGTTTTTGTTAAATTAATACCATGTGCATACACTCAAGAAGCACTTGTTTTAGCCCCAACCATTTCCGTTGCACCATTTCCGTTGTATTTGCGAATTTAAGCCCAAAATACAATAACGCAGTGGCAGTGGCAGTGGCAGTTTTTCGAAATCAGCTGTTTTTTAGAAAGTGTGGTGTCCAATGAAGCGACTCACAATACAGCAGTGGCAGCTGGCAGTTACTTTGCTCCATATTACCCACACTGTTTTTTACCTTTGCTTGGTCTGGTTTTAGTATGTTGAAACTAACACCTTACCCGAAATCGGTTGTGTTTTAGAGGTCGGCAAACGGCAAAAAAATCTCAAAAATCAACGCGATTTTTTAGCAGGTCGAAACTTGCACTTCATTGTATTGTATGGGTTATAAAACTGCATATCCAAAAATTTTCTAAAAATTCAGATTTAAAGGGGGAAATTTTGATAAAAATTTGTTGAATTTTCTTAAATTTTGTATAAGGTTTCAAACTGTTATTTATATATTTTTTGATTAAAGCTTGGACGGTATTTTTTTATAGAAAAGTAACAAAGTTGCACAAGGTTCACAAAGATTAATCAAACTTTTAAAAAATTTTATACAAATAACTAGTATTTTATACGCAATTTTAAAAATTAAAAGTTTTATATGCAATTTTGTAGGCCATTCAATTTAAGTACTAAAAATTGCCGTCCATTTTTTAGAATTTTCTTGTGGGTAGTGTTGGTCATTTTTTTCCATATGACATATGAGCAAAATCTGTTTTTATGATGGAATATGGCTTCGAAATTTTGTCCATATTTTTATAATATTATTACTTATAAGCGGGCACTCTCAAAATCGCGTGATCGGTTTATTTTAAAGCCAACCGCCATAATAACTTGACATCTAAAATGCCACAACAGTATATGAGGATAGGAAAAAGAACCGCAGGTTAACGCAGCTGAAACTTATATATTTTTCATGCTTAGTCATCAAGTTATTAGTTATCAATATTTCAATTTAAGTCACATTTACGCAAAAAAGTTCTAACCTTTTAAAGTGAAAGAAAACGTTTAAAATATAGATATTAAATATTTCCATATAATATTTTGACGTAATATTCTGTATAGTATAATATAAACTATTTTCAAAAAGCTAACATTACCTTTTTGGTGAAAAGCGCACCTATTTTCAGTATTTTACTTTTGAGGCTTATACTTCTTAAAACAGAATTGCAGTGGTACAAAGAAAGGTATGAAAGATCAACCGATTTATTAAAAATTGTTTTTTCCTCTCGGACATCGCTGTGCCGATCGACACTACCAAAACGAAGCAGATTTACTTCTGACCTTCAGGGGCATTGCCCAAAACTTTTTGGAACTGTTTCTTGCTGTTACAACAACTTTCTCTTGTGTGCTCGATTTTCAATATTTTTGTGTAAAATACAGAAGTATTGGCACAGTGAATTTTTCGCATTATATGCAAAGTTATTTATTCTAATTTATCTTCGATAATTTTTTATAAAAATATTTTTCATTCTACACCAGAAAACATAATAACTTTGTGCAAAACTCAGGAAAATTCATTAAATTTGCACACTAATTTGCAACTTTTTATTCAGATTTTTTAGAAAAAATCTTAGAAGTATGCAGTTTTATAGCCCATTCAAATTTAGTAACAAAGTGCAAGTTTGAAGTCGCTAGAAAATCGCATTGATTTTTGGTAATTTTTTTTCACGCAAGTTCTTCCATACAAAGTAATTCGACAATTATTTTTTGTATGGAGAAAATGAGCAACACCTTCCACTAAAAAAATTGCCAAAAATCAACGCGATTTTCTAGCAACTTTAAACTTGCACTCTGTTATACTAAATTTGAATGGGCTATAAAACTGCATACTTAGGATTTTTCTAGAAAATCTGAATAAAAGGTTGCAAATTAGTGTGCAAATTTAATGATTTTTCCTGAGTTTTGCACAAAGTTTAGAGTTTTTTATTATTAAGTTTTCTGATGTAGAATGAACTATATTTTTATAAAAAATTATCGAAAATAAATTAGAATAAAAACCTTTGCATATATGGCGAAAAATTCACTGTGCCAATACTTTTGTTCGGCACTGTACATGTAAGAAGTTTGGATAGAACCAACTAAGAACTTTACGGCGGTTTACCTTTAATACTTTTTAAGTATAAGCAGAAAACAACGAAAATTGTCTATCAAGTTTTTATATACCAACTTAAAAATTCACAAAAAAGACATTAGTCAGAAGCTCTGAAAGATTGAATGGAAATAAATAAGCTTAAGCTTGATTATCATTAATCTATTCGTTTGGTCGATTTAATTGAAAATAATCCCAAACAGTAAAAGAAAACAAAAAGTTTGCTCAACTATGCCAAGCGTCATTTTTTTTTTTGGCTATACATACCTCAAAAGTCATAGAGAATGTTCACACTTACCTAAAATCGAAATTTCGTATGTATACATACATATAAAATGGCGGCAGAAATACTAGACTCGTCATACTTTTAAAAATGTTAGCTATATTTATTTAGTTTATTTTATGTTTAATATTTTTTTATAATAGCCTAGATAGTTATGCAACAAACATCATATAAATCCGCTTTTCAAACCTTGAACAAAATTTATAACAAGTAATTTTTAAGCAAAAAACATAACCGACTTCAATTCTCATAAAAAAAAAAATATATATGATCCAGATTAGTATGGGACCATCTCTGACCTTTCCGATACAAAAAGAATTATCGAAATCGGTTGACGTGGTCCAAAGTTATGCTGGTAACAAACAAACAAACAAAAAATAAATAAAATAAACATATTCCGACGAACTGATAACCTCCTCCTTTTGTGGAAGTCGGTTAAAAATTCGACAAATTTTCAAACTTTTTATTCAGAATTTTTTTTGGTATGCTGTTTAGTAGCCCATTCAATTTTAGTATAATAAAAGTGCAGGTTTCAATTGGCTACAAAATAATATGTACCGCACTTTTCAGTGCGATAATTCAAAGACGAGAAAATAAATTTTAAAATTGAAAACAATGGAAATGCGCGATGCGCGGCCTTTTAAACTTAATATTATGCGTTGCGCTTTTAACAGGCATCTGTTGTTATCCCCCGAAGGGCTTTAAAAAAATATATATACATATTTGTCGATTTTTTTTTTTGAATCAGTCTAATGTGAATGCATATGTACATGTCTTCATCTGAAATGCAAAAAGACGTAACAAAAACGACGCTGTCATGCAAAAAGACGTAATAATAAAAAATTCAAAATTTACTTTTTGATT